GCGGCGGCACTCTCGGGGTGAGACGGGGCGCGGGCCTCGGCGGGGGGAGGCGAGCGGGAGCCGAGGGTGAGGGCGAGGCGGGCAGGGCGGAGGGGTGCGGGCTGTACCGCCGGGCCTGGGGCACAGGCAGCCCGGTGCCCGGCAGGGGCTGCGGAGGCGCTTTGGGGCCGAGACGTTGGATTTCCACTCTGAGCTGTTAAATCCGGAGGCTGAGAGTGGTGAGTGCGTGGTCGGTGGGACACGGGATGGGGCCCTGGGGAGGGGGAGCGGAGGGTTCACACCACTGCCCAAACAGGGGGCTGCATGGGAGCGTCTGCCAGGCTGCCCGCGGGCACCAAGGCAGGTCTTGGACTGCCAGGGGCTGGCACCGAGCCCTGTCCGGGCGCAGGAGGGAGACGGCATCTGGGAGCAGAGCGGATGGGCAGGGGGGAAGAAGCCCAGGAAAGCCCAATATCCATGGGTTTTGGAGCGCAGTAGACGCTGGCAGCTTTCCCTGGTCACCCTGTGACGTTGTGAAAGATGGGGGTAAGGGGGGTGGCAGTGACTGGGTGTGGGGGGCTGCCCTTCCCCCCACAGCACGTATTTCTTACACTGCCGTCCTCTGCCTCTTTCCAGGTGCACATTCTATTCCATTTATTTACAAAGGTTCAGATGTGTCTCCCCTCCTTCTTTATACATTGTTAAAAAATAGTCATAATTTTAAAAAAAGCCAGAGAAAACACGCTGTGGTTGGAGACACTTGCATAAATTGTGGCAAGTGTCTGCAAGCCGTGACTCAAAGCTGCCAGCAAAGGCCGGGGCGGGGGGGTGTAGGGCAGGGGAGCAACTATTTCCGAACAAAAGCAAAAATAGCAGTGGCAGGGTCACAGGACAGAGGAGCTTTTCTGCCATGTCCGACTCTGCTGACGGGGCTGAGTGGTGATGGAGGGAGCAGGAGGAAACTGGTGTGTTTGGTTCAATGAGGGTTTCCAGTGGCCATGCTTGCATCTCCAGCCAAGCAGCGGAGGGTGTCAGCGCCCAGCCAGCACCATGGTGGCTGCCCAGGCCTAACTGGTGGGGTTTGGTAGGGGACCCACTCTGATGGTGTTCACTGCCTCTTCCTGCTTAAGAGTGTCATGGTGACGAGGAAGGGAACCCATGAATCCTAGAGACATGTGAGTCAGGGCTGCACAGATAAATTTAAGAATAATGCAAAACCAGGTCCTTTGTCTACCACCCGGCCAGGTCAGCAAAAGGAACTGGCGTATCTGCCTTGTGCTGTCGTCTGCAGCAGGGAAGGGAAGGCAAATTGATCTGGGCTGGCCTCACTTGCTGCCAACGATGCTTGGAGGAGCCCAGAAGGTCCAGCGTAGTTGGGACCACTAACACCACTAACACCGCGCACAAGTCACATGGCCCTGAAGTCTGGAGCACCCTGAGCCACATCAGTCCTGCAGGCAGCATTTCTTAATTTCTGCCAGGAGAGGGAGACACGGTTCTTCTGTTTCCCTTTGGTTTGTGATCCAGTTCAATGCTGGAGTTGGGAATCAGGCCTCAGTTTTATTTCCCAGAGAAGGGCACTCAGGGGCAAGACTTTGTGCCACTGAATGCGGGCAGCCCTGGCGTGTCACGTGGCCTCGCGGACGTGGCCTCATCCCTGGAGCATCCCTGTGCCCCCACACGGCTTTTTCCAGCAGAGCCAGTGTCAGTGGCACAAGCTTTCCAGGGGTTGTGGATCCCTGAGGGATGTAGGCTCCGAAGGTTCTTGGATCCAGTGAGTGCTCGTGGTGCTGAGCTGGATGAGAGCAGAGTGAGTGGTCCGTACCCACTGCCCCCCATCCCCGAGGCTGTGCAGCTGTAAGAGCTGTGGGGTGGGGGTCCTCCCAGGGCTGACCTCGACTGTGCTCAGCCCACACTGGCTTTCCAGCAGCTTCCACCTGCAGCGTGTCCTTCGCAAACAGACTGAACAACTGAAATGATGTCTCCTCCTTTCCCCTTCCCCCTTTTTTTGATAAAAATGACAGTTAAAAGAACCAGAAAACTCGAAACTTAATCTTGGGAACACCCAAGGTATTTTTTAAAAGTTAAAAAAAAGAAGCATTGTTATTGTCTCTGTGACAATACAACTTAGTCTAATCAGATTTGGTTTCAGATCTTAAACAGAAAAATTAAGCAATCACATTTTCTAGGCAGCCTTAGAGAGGATGGTATGAATCAAGCACAGGCACTTTTACATTCTGTAACTGTTTTATTAATGAAATTTAACCCTTGGGCATGGCCACAGTGTAGCTCCCATTTCATCAGAGCATTTGATGAGCTGTTCTGGTTAGCCGACTGCTCGGCAAAATTAAGGATTTTTGGTTTTTTGCTTTATTGTTCTCTTGCTGGCCACTGTTGTAATCAGGCTGGTGCGCCTGTTCAGCAGGAGAATTCAGTCTGTTCTTGCAAGATCAATCTGTTCTTCCTGCAAAATCTATTTTTGTTTTTTACTTTCTATGCAGAATAAGACTTACTGCAGCATTGGGGGGTGTCTAGCAGCGAGCACATCTTCCCTTTTTTGTTTGGTTAAGCTCTTTGTATTTCTCATGTTGCAGAAAACAAGGTGGGTGGTTTTTTAAGAGGAATAAATATTTCCATTTACTCCAGGGACATATAGCAAGATGAGTTGTTGTTACGAACTTTAGTCATGAGTATTAGTAGTTTTACAGCTGGGAAGTGAGAGCAATTTGGGGGCAATATTCATTTTCATGGCAACCTGAGATTAGAAACTTGGAAAAACTCTCTGGTAGTTGTTGGGTTGTGCTGTAAATACTGCGATTGCCATAAATGATGGGAAGGGAATCATAGAATCATAGAATGGTTAGGGTTGGAAGGGACCTCAAAGATCATCTAGTTCCAACCCCCCTGCCATGGGCAGGGCCACCTCCCACTAGAGCAGGTTGCTCAAGGCCCCATCCAGCCTGGCCTTGAACACTTCCGGGGATGGGGCATCCACAACTTCCCTGGGCAACCTGTTCCAGGGTCTCACTTGCTGTATTTTTCATGTGTGCTGTGGTTAATCCTTTCCCGGGAATACAGCCCCATTGGTCTGCTGGATTTTGGGAAGAGAAAAATAGAATGACACTGTTGATGTTATCAGCGGTATTGCTTTGGACTCAGGTTCATCCCGCTTAGGTCAAGGTTTTGGTCCCCCCAGAGAGAGACCCCTCTGGGAGGTGGGTGTGAGATGCCAAATCTCCCTTGGGCAGATCCCATCGCCTGGTCACTGCACGGAAAACTGATGTACAGCCATCTCATCTGGGCCATCCCTGTTTCAGTGGAGCGATGCCAGCCCTAGCACCCTTGAGTTATGCCTGGGGATCGCAGCCACTTGTGCTGGATGCTGCATGACAAAGAGGGACCTTGCGGGCTTTTCCAATACATCGTTGGCTCCAGAGCTTCATGTGAGTGATGCCCCTTGGTTACAGTCTCTTGCTGTACCTACACCTCGAATTTGAGATCAGTGGGATGTGGTCCATCACATCAGGACCATAGCATGTGTGTTGGTGCCAGCTTGGCGGTGCTGTGGCAGGGATAGAGCAGGGCTTGCACCTGCCTTGGTCCATGGGTGAGTGAGTCTCAGCTGCATCCCAAAGCAGCGCCTCCTGAGCTGCAGCAACTGAGACTAGCAAATGCCAAGTTCAGGCCTCAGACAGCTTTGTTTTAAATCAACGTGAAATACTTGAGTTCAGGCAGTTTCAGTTCTAGATTAGTTAGGGTTTCAGTTCTAGGTTATTTAGGGACGTTTTGGGTCGAGTTTGGTGGAAGGAGCCCACCAGCCTGGCATGGTGCCGCGCCAGCCCCGCGGGATGCTGAGGCTTGGGGATGAGCACTACTGAACATGGGGCAGTGCTGTGCTGAGGCGGGCGGCTGGTGGAGGCAGATGATGAACAGGCTGCAGCTGCACCGTGCCTCGCTCTGCGCAGCCGGTGTTACCCACACAGCACCCCTGCCTGGAGGGGACCCGAGAGGGATGTGGCCGGGCATTTCGATTTTACGAACCGCGTGCCTCAGCCTTTAACTTCAGTCCAAGGCTGTTCAAATCTTTAAGGAGCTTCAGGTTTTCTTTCTTGGGGGACTGGTGGTCTTCTTGATGCTGGAGGAAGGTTGTGTGTTTCCTTTCATGCTCCTGCCCTCATGACCCTCTAAACTGGTGCTGTGGGGCGCTGGTGTGGCACAATTGGTGCAGCTGTGGATGAGCTGGTATTTGCTTACATCCTGAGGAGCAAGCTGGAGCCAACCGGATGGTGATGTGTACATATATATATCTCACCATGTTAGCTCCTCTGCCCAGTAAGATGTGCTCACTGGGCTTGCTGGCCCTGCACACCTGCACATGGCGGTCTCACATTGCTGTCTGGTGGGACTCCTTCAGCCCTCGGCAGCTGTGGAGAGCCCTTCCTATCGCCAGGTCCATCTGTCTGTGGGTTTTAAATGCAGTTGAGAATCGCTGGACAGTGGTGTCCCTGGCCATGGGAATGACAGCAAGGACGCTCTCACCAGTGTTCCAGCTAAAGGCTTTTCTTCACTCAGACACTGCTATTTGTCTTGCTTTGTGAGAGATTTACCATTACTGTGGAGAGGCCAGGATTAAGATTGCTCAGGGCTAGATTGGCCAAGCAAGAGGCGTTTCCTTGTGGAGTGCTGAATTGGCTCCCCATGCTGGTTGAGCTCAGCAGGGCTGTGGCAGTCATTGTCCCTTTTCCTGAGATAAAGCAGTGGAAGGGAAGGGGCAGGATCTGTGCAACCCTGTCCTCACTCATGGTAGCACTCAAGTGCTTCAGCTACAGCCGGGATTGTCCTCTCCCTGCCCTGCCCCAGGACAGGGGGTGGCTGCCAAAACAGAGTGGCCTGAACCGTTTGGCTTTGGTTTCTAACCACAATCATTTTCCCTTCCTCTCCCCATTGGTAATTTTGTCATTGCTGCTGACCTTGTCACGGGCCCGTGATTCTTCCCCTCTTCATCCCAGGGCTGTAGCTCCCAGGTACAGGCCAAGCAGAGGCGATGGTGGGGCTGATCCTGGCGGGGATGTGGCCTCAGGGGCCAGCTGGGAGCTGAGCACCCCTGGCCAGACTGGTTCTGAGTAGGCTGTCAGTTTGCTGAAACTGTGGGGAGGAGAGAGAAGGAAGGGGAGGAAAGTCGCCTGGTCGGAAAGAAAGTTTTACCCGGGTTTGTGTTCCCCAGGGCTGTGTGGCTGCAGCGAGCCAGGGGAGTTTGTGCCTCTGCGCCAGCTCCCGGTGGGGACAGCCACCACCAGAGCCCTGCTCCTCGGGCCCTCCCTCTGCCCCGGCAGTGCCGGGCGCTGGCAATCGCCTGCTGAGCATGCAATGGCAAACCACGTGGCAGGGACCGGAGCAGGTACCAGTGCTGTGTCCAACACCTTGGAGCCCCTGCTCTGCGCTTTAAGTCTTTTGCAATGGGAAGTTCAGTAAAGATACAAAGGAGCTGTTAATTGCTTAGGGTTCGTTGCATAAAATTATGCTTGTTTTATTTGCATCGCCACACAGCTCACCCGTTGCTGTCCTCTGTGCCCTTTAAATTTTAAGTTTCAACCATTCAAGCTTCTCCCTCTATCCAAGGACTTCCTGAAACTTTGAAATCCCAAGACTTCCACCTTCAGCAGAGGTTTCCCTCTAGAGAGCTCTCCTAATCCCTCTTGGAGCAGACTCCAGAAGTGGCTTCCAGCCAACACTTCTGTGGTCCTGTGAAGTCAGAGGTTCTGCAGCAAAGCCATAGCAGGGCTGCAGGACTGGCTTCCCTCAGTGTGCCTGAGTGGGCTTGCGAGCCTTTTCCCAAAGGGTGTATTTAGGCAGAAAGGTGGTGTTATGCTGTGGTGGGGCTGAAACTTGTAAGCATGGGGAGGTCGATAATATTACTGCAAAATCATGGATGACTTACGTCTGTTTTTATTGCTGAAAGCTAGATTTTTTGAGCAGAATTGAAACCAAGCCAGGTTGTTAGAGCAGCAACGAGCAACGAGCATTGCTCGTTTAAAGAGCCAATTATTTAAAGGTGAGCATAAAACCAATCCTGTTTTTTTTCTAATTCAACATCTTTGGTCCCTGTGTGTTTCAGTCCAAGTCAGGAGATTTTTAGTCCCAGATGTTAAAAGTTGGGTGTTTGACCTCTGAGAGGTTGGGGTGAAGTGTGGGCTATCCTGCACCACCCGGAGCAGTGGCAGGCTCGGCAACATGTGGTGAACTCCTTGTGTGAGGTTGCAAAAGGCTCTGAGAGCTACCTCACAGCAGCAGAGTTGTGGCTTTTTTGACCTGGCAGTCCCACAGCTCACGACATTCCTGGAGGAATTCAAAGTGTTCCCTAAGGTGTCGGGGTTTGACCTAGGCCGGGAACCAAGCCCCACACAGCCGCTCGCTCACCCCCCCGCAGGATGGGGGAGAGAATCAGAAGGGTTAAAGTGAGAACTCTCATGGCTTGAGGTAAAGACAGTTTAACAGGGAAAGCAAGAGCCGCGCACAAGCAAAGCAAACCAAGGAATTCATTCCCCGCTCCCCATCGCAGGTGGGTGCTGAGCCATCCCCAGGACAGCCGGGCTCCATCAGTGTAACGGTGACTTGGGGAGACAAACACCATCGCTCTGAACGTCCCCCCTTCCTTCTCCTTCCCCCAGCTCTATGTGCCGAGCATGATGCCACGTGGCCCTCGCTGGCGGGGTGAGAGGCAGAAAAGGCCATGACTGTGCCAGCACTGCTCAGTAATAACTAAACCATCCCTGTGTTATCAATGCTATTTCCAGCCCAAATCTAAACCGCAGCCCCGTAACAGCTACTGTGAAGAAAATTACCTCTATCTAAGCCAAATCCAGCACATAAGGCAAAGTCTTTCTCATAGTTGTCAGTTGTTACTGTGGTGCTGGCTGGAGAGAAGGCAGGGAACAAAGACAATGAGCTGGGTATTTATTATGTGATCTGGTGCTTCCCCAAGTTCTGGACTCTTCTGGTTTGTTGGGAGAAATGATACTGTTTTTAATTAGATTGTGGGAGTTGTGGCTTCTGCAGGCTTGGCTGTGTTACTAGTCCTGACTGCAGCCAAACAGAAGCTGGAGCACAAGTGGAGATACTTGATTAAGGCAGATTCCTGAAATGCCTGTGCTTTAGCGAAGATGATGAGACTTTGCTTATTTGGAACATAGATATGTTAGTGATAAGGGACCTCAGGAGATCTCTAGTCCAACCCCTTTTTGGAACAGGACCATACCAAGCCCTAGGTCAGGTCAGCTATGGCTTTATCAAAGTAAGCTTTGAAAACCTTAAGGGACATCCCCCACCTCTCTGGATAGAGGAAACTGCTGCATCGAGGAGGTGAAATGATTTTTTTCATATTGCATGCAGCCTCATATTTCTGTCTGAACTGCCAGCAGTGGACATTGAACTGGCTGTTGCCTGAGCTCTGCAGAAAGTCTCAGGAGAAGAGCACAGGGTGTTGATTGCGTTTGTGGTTCCTATGTTCTCTTGGGATTCTTTCTCCCATTCAGGCTTGCATCAGATCTCACAGAACAAGGTGGCAGTGCTGCTCCTGGCTGGAGGACAAGGAACTCGGCTAGGAGTGAGCTATCCCAAGGGCATGTACAACGTGGGGTTGCCCAGTGGCAAGACCTTGTATCAGATCCAAGCAGAAAGAATCCGCAAAGTGGAGCAGCTCGCTGGCCAGAGACACAACTGCAAGTGTGCCATCCCCTGGTAGGTGACCTGGAGCAGGGCTCTTTGTGTTGCAGTCTTGCCTGTGTTGTCTTCTAGAAGCCCTTTGCTGGGTGCCATAGAGAGACGTGTCAGGGGAGAGCCTTATCTTGGCAGGATTTGTGATGCCAGAAGCTTGAGAAGGGTGCGCAGGGGTGGGAAGTGGCAGGTCTGTGTCTGCCAACCTGAGGGACTGAGCATTGCCCTTGAATCGCTGACCACTACCCTAACTGCTGTACCACACTGTCTTTTCAAGAACGCCCTTGACAACACTATAAATAGCACTTTCCAGTGGCTGTGGAAAGTCCACTTTCCTTTGTGCTGTGCTTTCTCAAGTTCCTGCACGGAGGGAGAGATCACCTAGAGCTCACCTTCTAAGACACACCCGCCTCTCCATGGCCATAATTTCTGCTGCAGCAAAAAACCCCTCTTCCCCTCGCACTAGTAAATGCTTGTTATGCTCCATTTTTAGGCCACCTCCTGCTGCTGCTGTTTAGAGCTCTCTGCTGTCTCTCCTGGCTGCTCCTAGCTTTCAAAAGCTTCCAGGCTTCAAATGAGACTAGCTCTGTGCAAGATGCAAAATATGAATTCCCTATGGGATGTGGTGGGTGAGAGAGAGGAAGGTTCCGTAACAAGCTGCTTGGGTGTTTTTGGTGATCTTTGTTATACTATAAGGTGACTTTTATGAAATCGCTGTCTGGTCTGAGCCAGGGCTGGGGAAGAGTGAAAGAGCAGGTGTCTGAAGTCTTCAGGGTAGCATGTTATTTTACAAATTGGAGATCGAAGGTGATTTGAATCCATCTTGTGTTTCTTTCTGAAGCCATTCATACATGACCTGAATTGCAAATGCAGCATCCCTGGTGCTGCTGGAAGCCAGGATAGGTGCTCTGCAGGGTATAACATCTGCTGATAATATTTACAGTTCCTCTCGCCATGCTGAGGAGGCAGTTGGCTGCTACAGTACATCAGAGACTGGGCTATGCTGTGCCGCAAAGGTGTAAATCGAGAGGGTGTGAGGTTCAGGCTCTCCTGTGCAAGGGATTGATACCCCTGGCATGCTGGCAGAGGACCCTGTGTACCGATGCCAATAGCTGTTGAAGTGCTTGACAGGCAGATGATGAATATGGCCCTTAGCCACTGGTGAAGAAGGAAGATAGTGGAGGGAAAGACAGCAGCAATGGAGCTGGAAGGAGAGGAGAAAACAGAAACTTAAGAGAAAAACAAGTCTTGCAGCCAATATTTGAAAATGCTGCTGTTTGCCTTGGCACAGAAGAGGCACTGGCAGACTGAGCTGCTGGGGATTCGCCGCTTATTCTCAGCACGTTGTGCTGGTCAGTGCTTCTTTAGACACTTAACACGGTCAATGCTTCTTTAGACTTAACATCAGCTTGAATTAGGGTGAATGAGGCTGTTGTACTGTCCTTTGCCTTGTTTTCCAGCTCATTCATACATCCAGATGTGGTTCACATTTAGGGAAAGGCTCTTCTGTCCTGGTTGGAGCTAAGCTCATGGGTGGAATCGTGCACAAGACCCTGTGCAGCCTTCCTGTGGGATGAGTTCTGGAGGAGAGCTCTCTGGCTCAGCAGCATACTGCAGGATGCTGTAGTGTCTCTCATGTAACACTCTCGGTTTTCCTCCCTGTGTTCCCTTTGTAGTTTTGTCTTTTGCTTGTGCTTTCCTTGCTCATTGCTCAGCACCCATTCCTTCCCAGGTACATCATGACAAGTGAGTTCACGCTGGGGCCAACAGAGGAGTTCTTTGTAGAACACAACTACTTCAACCTGGATAGATCCAATGTGGTCATGTTTGAACAGAGGATGCTGCCCGCTGTCACCTTTGATGGGAAGGCCATCTTAGAGGAGAAGGGGAAAATTGCTATGGCTCCAGGTAATCTGCTATTTCCTCTTACATGGTACAGTAATGTAAGTGTGTTGATAATTGTTACTCACCAACAGCCAGTCTTGGCACATGGAATAGTCTATGGAGGTCAGCGTTAATGCTTCTGATTAGCATGGGAGGGTTCAGCGAAATGTTTCGGGCTGATGATCAGTAGTATAGGAATTTCTGGTTAGTTCTTGCTGGAGATATGCCCACAGGACATGTTTTTTATCAAAACATGGGAGTATTGGCAGGATTATGAGTGGTGCAGGGTAGAAACCTGCAGCTACAGGTTAGGAACAACGTGCGTCATCAGGGCTGTGTGAGGTCCCCAGGATGCTGCTTTCCACAGGTGAAGCTGTTGGAAGCTGGGCTCCCATTCGAGGCCAATAGCTGGAAATGGGTAAAGAAGCAGCAAAAAGATTTACTCTTTCCAAAATGGTTACGGTGTCTCACCTAGTAAAGTTCTCTTCTTTTCTTAACCTGGACATAATAAGAAATGCAGTGAAGGCAGCCTGGTTGGGGCCATGTTCTAGTGATGTGGTTTTGCAGCCACAAAGTAGTTTTCCTGAGCTGACAGGGGTGTCACAGGAGAAATCATGAAAGGATGATCTGCGATGAACAAATGTGCAGATGTCTTTTGTGCAGCTGCAGTTCAAGCCTTTAAAAAGGTGTTGGGAAGTTGAGGGGGGAAGGTAAACAGAGAATAAGATTTATTTTAGTCTTTTTCTCCAGGCTGAATTTTAAATATGCTTTTGCTCTGCACTAGAAGGCAAGAAGTGTAACAGGCTTTTCCCACCCTCTGCGCAATGTTTTGCCCTTTATTGTTTACCTTCTGAGGATAAAGCTTCATAAAGTCTTGTGATATTTCTCTGAGGCTGTTCCCCACGGTCCCACTCTGCAGATGAAGGAGCTGGGGCCTGCAGGGGAACAGCCTTGCCTGAACTATGTGGCAGAGCTGGAAGTAAAGTCTGGTAGCACTGACTCTTGGCTAGAAAGCATTCATACAGAATCACAGAATGATGTGGGGTTGGAAGGGACCTCTGGAGATCATCTAGTCCAACCCCCCTGCCAAAACAGGTCCACCCAGAGCAGGTTGCACAGGAACGTGTCCAGATGGATTTTGAATGTCTCCAGTGACAGAGACTCCACCACCTCCCTGGGCAGCCTCTTCCAGGGCTCTGCCACCCTCAAAGTAAAGAAGTTCCTCCTCACGTTTAGATGGAACTTCTTATGTTCAAGTTTTTGCCCATTTCCTCTTGTCCTGTCACTGGGCGCCACTGAAAAAAAACTGGCCCCTTCCTCTTGACACCCACCCTTTAAGTATTTGTAGGCGTTGATCAGATCCCCCCTCAGTCTTCTCCAGACTAAAAAGTCCCAAGTCCCTCAGCCTCTCCTCATAAGAGAGGTGCTCCAGGCCCCTAATTATCTTTGTAGCCCTCTGCTGTCCCCTCTCCAGCAGTTCCCTGTCTTTCTTGAACTGGGTAGCCCAGAACTGGACACAGTGCTCCAGATGGGGCCTTCCCAGGGCAGAGCAGAGGCGGGGATAACCTCTCTCTACCTGCTGGCCACTCTCTCCTTGATGCACTGCAGGATGCCACTGGCCTTCTTGGCCACAAGGGCACATTGCTGCCTGATGGACATCCTGTTGTCCACCAGGACTCCCAGTCTTTTTCCTCAGAGGTGCTCTCCAGCAGGTCAGCTCCCAACCCGTGCTGGTGCTTGGGGTTATTCCTCCCCAGGTGCAGCACCGTACACTTGCCCTTGAGTCCTCTCTGACCAACTCTCCAGCCTGTTCAGGTCTCGCTGTATGGCGGCACAGCCTTCTGGTGTGTCATCCACCCCTCCCTGTTTTGTATCATCAGCATACTGGCTGAGGGTACATTCCCTGAAGGGATCTTCATCCAGGTCATTGATGAATATATTGAAGAGGACTGGATCCATTACTGATCCCTGGGGAACACCACTTGTTACAGACCTCCAATTGGACTCTGCGCCACTGATCACGACCCTCTGAGCTCTGTCTTTCAGCCAGTTTTCAATCCACCTCACTGTCCATTCATCTAACCCACACTTCCTAAGCTTACCTATGCTGTGTTAGACTGTGTCAAAGCCTTGCTGAAGTCAGGGTAGACAACATGCACTGCCCTCCCCTCATCTATCCATCCAGTCATGCCATCGTAGAAGGCTATCAGGTTAGTCAGATACAATTTCCCCATGGTGAATCTGTGTTGACTGCTTCTTTTCCTCCATATGCTTTGAGATGATGCCCAGAATGAGCTGTTTCATCATCTTTCCAGGGATGGAGGTCAGGCTGACCAGCCTGTAGTTTCCCAGATCCTCCTCCTTGCCTTTTTTATTTCCTGCTTTGCTGTTAAGGAAAGTTTGTTCAGCACTTCAGCTTTTGCTCTTAGCTGCAAAAAAAACCTGCAAAGTCACTAATTTACCTGAACTTTCTTTTGTGTTATAGATGGCAATGGTGGCTTATACCGTGCTTTGGTGGATAATAAGATCTTGGATGACATGAAGCAGCGTGGAATCCAGTATGTCCACGTATACTGTGTGGACAACATCCTCGTGAAAATGGCAGATCCGGTCTTCATAGGCTTCTGTGTTTCCAGAGGGGCAGATTGTGGTGCAAAGGTGAGGCGGTGCGGAGCTGGGCCACTTTCCAGCAGGGAGTTAAGGTCTGATTAGGGTTGGAAGCTACTGGCAAGGGTGAGGTTAGATGACCTGGGGTTTTCAGACCTCTGCCCAATAGCAGCTCACTCCAAGCATGTTGCTTGCTACCTGCATTGCATTCAGAATCCCTACCTGTGCGTGTCCTCCTCCCCTCTTCCTAGAGTACTGTGGAAAATAAGCTTCAATTAGAGCAAGGACTGTAGCAGCACAGGAGACTACAAACTGGAATTGCTCCCCTTTATGCCCTGCCCTTTCTGCAAGGGCACTTGGGCTATCTAGAAGATGTATTGGACTGGGTTGTGTTTTATAAATCCACCTTTAAGTCTAATGGAGGCATTCCTTATGCGGCTCTGTGGAAGATGGGGAAGGCCAAACCAGCCTGGTTTGTCATCTCTCATTGTTTGGGCTGAGCTGGCCACTAAATTGTTTTGCCTCAAACCAGGACATCACCCTGAAACAGCAGGTGGCTGAGGAGAGGTTTATATTACTTTAATCATTAACACTGTTCATGGAAACAGGGAACTGAAGGCTAACAGCTGCAGACAATTTTCATTTAATGCCAGGTCCAAGTCCTTGATAAGAAAAGTGCCCCACAGTGTGCTGATTTCTTTTAACTGGTTTTTCTTCTGAGCAACTGTGCAAATAGACGGTTGAGTACTGGATGTTATGCTCAGTTTTTGGGCAAAATGTGACTCCAGGCTACTCCGTACACCCACCACTGCTCTGCTTGTGCTCCTGAAGCACTGAAGCATCAACGTCCAGCAGTCCTGTAGGATCCTTTGTACGTGGGAGCTGGAGTAGCGCTGGGATTTTCTTTCTCCTCATAGCCCTCTGTCCTGTGGCTGCAGGTGGTGGAGAAGGCCTACCCCACAGAGCCTGTTGGGGTGGTGTGCTGTGTGGATGGGCTCTACCAGGTGGTGGAGTACAGTGAGATCAGCCCGGAGACCGCACAGCAGCAAAGCCCTGATGGGGGCCTGATGTACAGCACTGGCAATATCTGCAACCACTTCTTCACGGTTGAGTTCCTGGAGATGGTGGCTCAGTAAGTTCCAGCAGACCTGCTAGGCAGCTGTGCAGTGCAGAAATGCCTCCAAGAGAAGGCTGTTCCTGTTTCCCACTCTATAATTTCAGTTACGGTACCTCCTGCTCTGCTCTTCGCCTCCTCTCTCCTCCAAACAGTTTGAAACAGCTGTGTGCCCTTTCTGGCAGCCCCAGCGTGCTCTTCAGGCCTTCCCCGATGAAGTGGTTGCATGCGTTGCTGTAGCTAAATCAACTGAGCTATACCAGTGTGTGACCTTCCTGGGCCTGCAAGGGTGAGCAGCCGTGTGAGCTGCAGTGTGGTCAGTGATGCAGCCCCACGCTGAGGATTTTCAATGGGAATGTCACCCATGCCATCGCTTGGGAGAGAGGGTGAAGCTGGGGGAGGACTCTGCACCTTGGTGTTGGGAGATGGGGAGGTGGCGATAGGCATTCAGTGAGCAGCTCTATGACCTTCCTGAGGAGCTTGATCTACCCCTGTGTGAGGGATCTGATCTGCTCCATTGTCATCCCAGTCAGGTAACAATTTGGGTTACCTTTTTTTATCCCTGCCTGCAATTTCAGCTCAACGATAGGTCCTCCCTCTCCTCTTAACTTTACCCTGTCATGTCCCACTGGTGCAGGGAGTGCTGCTGGCTGCACCGCTCTGCTTAGCGCGGTGTTCCCTGGATATGACTTGGATCAATTTAGAGAGAGCAACACGCACAACAGTTGAGAGATGACCCAGAGCAGTAATAAAGCATCTGCTTCCCAGAAGAGTACTTCTTTTTTGTAAATGGGCACAAAGTAAATGAACTTGTTTCTTCTCCTTTTGCAGGAAATATGAGCCACAGCTGAGGCATCACATAGCCATAAAGAAGGTGCCCTACATTGATGAGGAGGGAAATCTGGTAAAACCGCTAAAACCAAATGGGATAAAGATGGAGAAGTTTGTGTTTGATGTGTTCCAGTTCTCTAAGTTAGTGGCAGACGTGATTTTATTTTTTTCCTCCCTTTCTCAATGTTTGTTTGAATGACTGTAGGTTGTAACAGACCTTGCCAGGGAGCGCGGGGTTTGTGGGTTTGTAGAAAGATTGTTGGATCTACACTGAGCTCCAGCACAACAGTAATGCTGCAGGCTCCCAGAGGTACGGTCACAGGGTGCTCGGCAGCAGCCAGGCTGCTCTGACCATGCACCCAGAACTGTTCGTTGCACTGAGGATGTGTTGGCTGGCCTGGCCTCTGCCAGCCCTTTGAAAGAAAAGAAAAAAAAAAGAAATAGAGCACAAAGCCAACGTTTAATACAAGCCCATGTTAGAGTATTCAGACCCACAGAAATGGGGTCTTTCAGGATTGTGGCTTCCATGGCAACTGCAGCTCTGGGTTTTGGTGAGTGTCAGCCAGGGCTCAGCTCACACCCTTTGTGCTCCAAACCCAGGTTGCTTAAGCACCATGGGGCCAAGTTACTGTTCCTGTGGGAACTCTCAGTGTTGACTTGTCAAGCTATAAAACATAGCTGAGAGCGCTGTGCTATAGTGTTAGCGCAGTCAGGGGTACGTTGTGTTCAGGGAATGTGGAATGTTAATAATTTAGGAATTTAGCATAAGTGTTCTTATAAAACCTATTTTCCAAGTTCTCAAATTCAGCTGTAAAGATTCTGGTTTAGACTTAAATAGATGGCAAAAAGAGACCTCAGGCAAACTGAGTTATCTTTCTTTGGGGATAGTATTTTTCTTCTTAGAGGATTACTTTAAGATAGAGAGCTCAAGGTTTGAACTGACATGCCTGCAGTAAAGAAGCATCATACCAAAGGCAAAACCAGTGTGATAGAAACAGTGCTGAATTCTGAGCTTTGGAAGGACTCATTTGCAAGCAGTGATTCCTTGTGCTTTTTTAATAACACTGCAAAACCAGCTTGGCAGCTGCTCTTCCCACGTGAAATACAGAAATGCACAGATGCTGCTGTGGGATTTTTTAAATTTGCGTTCCCATTTCTGGTAAACAGCTGTACCTAGCGTTCAACTGTGAATATTGCTTATTCGTTCCTGGGAACTGGTGTCCTCAGTTGATCCTTGCCTACAGCCTCCTAAGTGGAGTGGCCATTTCTCGAAGCAGGGTTATGGAGCTCTGACGTGATCCACACAGCAGGGTGCTGGGTCCGAGCTTCATCCACTGCTGTTCTCTCCAGCCTGCCCTGCTCTGGAGGGTCGTGAGGCTGCTGTTAGGTTCCCAAAGAGACAGGGCTTCTTGTGTTTTTCCATCCTACAGCCCTGGTACTTCTTCCCTTTTCAGATGGGACGTGGGTTTTCCCTAGATTGACTGTCCCAGGCTGCATACATTGCTGCTCCCTAAAATATATATGAGCTCGTCCCCATTACAGTTGTTGTATCAGCAGGGCTGATGCCTAGCTTTGCTTTTCATTATAATTGTTTTCTCCCCTTTGTCGATAGGAATTTTGTGGCATTTGAAGTTTTGAGAGAAGAGGAGTTCTCGCCACTAAAAAATGCAGATACAGCTGACAAAGACACTCCTACCACTGCTCGGCAAGCCCTCCTGGCCCAGCATTACCGCTGGGCTCTCAAGGCTGGGGCCAGATTTCTGGATGAAAATGGTTGCAGGATACCAGAGAAACTCAGGTATCCTTCTGTATCCTTCTCTGCAGCTTCTCTGCCTGTGGCTGCCCAACTGTGCCAGCCAGCTAACGGCATGTGCTGTGCTCTACAAAACCAGGCATTAATTTGATCACAGGGTGACTTCGTGCAATTTTTGTTCAGCTGGTCTTTTCTGAACATACGAAGTAATGTCCAAGTAATGTTCGTTACGGCTCCTGTGTCCTTTGTCATTGTGGGTGCTCTAGACAGTGATGCACAGTGCTCTGGGCTTTACCTCTGGCAGATTCTTCCCTTTGGGGTTGTGAGTTGACTCCTCCTATTGGAGCTCATTAGGCAGGGTCAACCTTTTCCATTATTTGAATTTAGCCAGCCCGAGGAATTGCAATTCGTAGTCCTCACCAGCTTTTCTGAATATGGCCCCAGTTCTTAAGCCCAGCAAGATTCTCAGGTGCATTTAGGGATCAGTTATTACAGCAACTACCAGTTCAGATACTTCCTGCATTACGCTGAATGGGAAGCTGCTTTTACTCTGTGAGGCTATTACTTCATCAACTCATAGTTTAATAAACCCACAAGCCGTTTATTTTACTTGAAAAGCACCTCTGTGAAAGCAATGTTCTTGTTTTGATGAGAAGTATTTGGGACCTGCTAATTCTGTTTTATTTTCACATTTCGTGTTCGAATAATGTCTGGTGCATGTGAATATGACAAATGTCTTATCCTTCTGGATATCCTGTTCTTGATGATGTTTTGAAGAAGATGCACTATTTTTTTAAGCATAGCAAGAAGTAAATCCTGTGTTCTTTTCTCTAGTCTCTCAGGAAATGAAGATCCTCCAGCTGTGTGTGAGATTTCTCCGTTAGTGTCTTACTTTGGAGAGGTGAGAATGACTATCTGTGAAGGTATTTTTAAGAGTGTGCAGGTATGCATCTGATTTCCTTCCAGACATGGGGGATTTCTTTAGCCTGGGCTTGCTGAGAATTGGTAAGATCAAGGGAATTAGGACTTGGGCTCTGAGTTCTGTTTGTGGTTCCACTATAGTTTACTCTTCAGCAGTTTGTTCACTCTCAGTTTTAGCCATCTCTAAATGAGATTTGCAATGAGCTTGCGCAGTTTCATTGAGACTCACAAATACTTTAAGATCACCTGAATGACAAGTACAGAACATTGAAATTACAAAATCCACGGGGGTCACTCTGTTCAGTTCTATGCTAATTTGTGCCCCTCTGCCATGGTGAGTGAATATTGAAGAAGTGTGATACGTGCGTCGGCTTTAAAGAACAGATTTCTCAACTTTCCCTCTGAAAGTAATTGATCCTGGGAAATCTGCTTCCATTTAGAAGAAGCTTCCATTTAGAGAAGAGATGCTTCCCTGTGTTGGACAGACAGGGTAAGAAATAGTGGATTGCAGGAGGATGTGTGGGCACTGTGGGGAAGGCTGGTCATAAAACTTGACATCTTCACTAGGTTTCCACATGCAGGTAGCAAACTCATCACAGTCAATTGCAATGAGTTATGACTGGGTTGTAAGAACAAAATGAAAACAAGGCAATTTAAGTCGTCATTTCTTTGTTAGGATTATTCTAATGTGAGTACACACTTTCCCATGCCCAGGAAGCTTGCTTCTGAGATCCATTGTTTTACGGTTTGTTGGTGCTTGTCCTTCATGAACCTGAGGCTTGAGGCTGAAATACTTTCCATCTCTGCACTGGGGAAACTGTTGCTGTTGTCTGTACTTTCTGTGACCTTTTAACTTTTTAGGACATTATGTAGACTTAAAGATAGTGTAGGTAACTGATCTGATGCATTTATGACCTAACGGTACTGTTTTCACACGTCCTCAGGGTCTGGAGGTGTACATGAAGAACAGAGACTTCCCTTCTCCCTTTGTACTCGATGAAAACAAAGTGGAAATGCTAGGAAATTCTTGAAGAGGAGGGAAGCCTTTCCCCCCTCAAATCAGATATCTGTCTGTCAGATCCACTAGAAGAACCGACATTAATAAAATGTCGGTATGAAGTGCATTATAAAAAAAAAAAATTGCTTCACAGTATCAGATCAATGCCAAATCCTTGCAGCAGTTGTGTTTACACACATGTGTGTGCTCACCAGTTCTGTTTGGTAACTTTGAAGGCTATGCCTTTTACCTCAATGTATTTTGTAGCCTTGGATGTGAATGAAGGTTAATACCTTGCAGCCACCAAACAGATTTTGTATTTCTTATTTGCTATGCCTACAATTATTTAAAAGAGCCAGTCATAGCCTAATAAATTAGCTTTGCTTTCAAGAAGATTAAATCTCTTCAGTGCCTTGTTAGGTATCTTCCTTGTGCTGGTGGGGTTGAGGGTTTTTTTGTTTCTGTTTTTAAATTGTGTCCACAACTGAAGAATCAGGTTGGTCCATCTTTTCCCTAATCCTGTGCTGATTAGAAGATCCAATTTGGCAATTGCATCCTCCAACCAGATCACCCAGAGGAGTTTGCTGCAGGTAGGGATGCTGCTGTGTGTAAGCGCTGCCTGAGGTTTGGACTCCCAAGCAGACTAGTTTGTATGTCTAGGTTTGCTGCTGCCATTCCAAGAAAACATAAGTAAATATGCAGTTTAGACTGATTGCTCTTTACAGCTGTAGTGACCTGTATTTGTTAATTAAAAAAAAAAAAAAATAGATGATGAGGAATTTTTTCACAACAACCCTCTGCTCTTCCTGTCTATAACAGACATGTGTTTCACTTCTCAGTTTTCTGTACCATATCTTTTTAAAACTACCTGAAAGTAACAAGAGGTAGAATTTAATGCTTAACCAAAACTGAAAAAAGACTTAATCTCAGCATAACCAGTGTACACAGTAAAACACCAGCCTCTGCTTCTACAGTTTTTGGCCAGCTAGTTTTCCAGCACTCTTTCACTTATGAAATAATTATTTAGGTGCCTTCCTTTTAAATATACTACTAACCATAAGGTAAAGTGTCGGCTAATTAAGGATGCTAATTGCTAGGAGCATCTGCAGCATGTGAATTTGGCCTTGGCCAAGGGGTCCCAGGGTGTGCGTGATCCACAACAGATCGTTCTGCTCAGCCTTTGGATGCTGCCCCATGAGCTCCTGCCAGGCTCTGCTGGGCCCACCAGAGTCCTGCTGCTCTCTGTGGGGGTGCTCCGGGTGTGCTGCTGGGGGGCCTTTGTTGAGGAGCACTATCGTTTTCCTCTAAACCGGGTGGTGAAGAAGATGCCTCACCTGGAATGTTGTTATTTCATGCATCTGCTTCTGTGGAGGAATTGCTGATGCTATTTTATTAAGCATAAATCTTTTGAATAACTTGCATGGCTTTCTGTAATTCCTGACCTGAAGCTGTATTCAGAATTTTGGGGAAGTATAAAAATGGCTTTGAGAGTAAATACAGTTTGTAAGTAGGCTTGTGGTTGCCAAAGAAAGCGTCTAAATGTCAATGGCAGAGTTTTCAGGTATAGAGTGTATCTGCATGCACCTGAGTAATGAGCCTCCTGCACATGCAGACCAGCTAATGACAGTTCTGATTACCTCATTCAGCATGTGCAGCCAGTAATTCTCATTTTAGTATAAATTAAGTATTTGTCCTTGACACTCAATTCTGTAATTATTTTTGCGCACTGTTTTATGGGTCATTCCATTCCTGTCAGTCAAGTTTTATATCTGAGAGCAAATTGTGTTGCATTTTTGTGAGTATTGCTTGTCAACTCAGGCCCATGCTCCTTTTAAATTGCACTGTGCTATAAAGAAAGGATATTTCTTTTGTTCTTGCTAAAGTGCTTTCTCTTTCGAAACACCAGTTCCCATGTGCTTTAATCGTGTGTACACTGAGCTGCTGACATGTTTTTAGAGGTTGTTTTCAAGGAGTGCTTAGAATTAGAATGCTGAATGCCTTGTCTGTTGGGTTTTTTTCTGACTCTTCACGTTTTAAACTGGAACATGGAAAGAATTTTGAGAGAACTTTTAAAAAAAATTTAAAATGTCCTGTATGTAACAAAGTAATTCTTATGCATTATGAAATGAAAAAACTACCTGATACAAAGGGACACCTATCGTACTTCAAAAACTTTTGGACATCTAAGCATTTTTATAATAAAGACGTTACTGTGATTTCTGTGTGTCTGTCTGTGTTTCTTGTCCATGAGGAGAATACACTTGTCTTTGTCCCAACATGTCATGGATGTTTCACCACAGCTGAAGGACACTGAGACAGTGTCACTGACAGCACAGCTGGAGGCTGCAGTGCCCACACTTTGGATGTTCGGGGGATGTGGAACTCAGCAGAGGGTAACTCCTGAAGGGGGCTGACATTGTGGGATGTGTTTTTCATCAGAAAACAGAGACTGTTCTTGCCTGCAATCCTGTTTATTTTTTTTCCCCAAGCTTTTCAACTCAGTTTACTGAGGGGAGGGAGTTTAATTGTGGGTGGTGCGTGGTTTTCTTTTATTTAAAGTGGATTTGAGTGATCTGGATCTGAGTCAGGCGTTTGCAGCTGTTGTGTGGGTGAGGAGGGATTGCTATGGTGCAGCTTTTGCTTGGGCTTCCATTGACAGGCACTTTTTAAACAGGGCTCTATAGAACAATCAGTAGGGGAGTAAATAATTTTTTGCAAATGACAGATTGTCCTTTCTTTTTGGTGTTTAGTGCTGAACCCAGCAAAGGTCAGAAGTGGACAGTCTTCCTTCCTTACCTATTTCACCCCATATTTTTCTCTTGGCACCCATATGAAAGTTGCTGGGTTTTCTAATGTGCCTTTAAGCTATGTGAATCGGTAGTTTCCTGTGACAGGAAAGTAAATACTAAAAATGGAAAGCATGCTTCAGGCTTCTGTTAAATTGTACCTCAGCTTCTTTATGTGGAGTATTCATATCTACCAGAATTGTTTGCTTGCTTAGTTTTTTTAATCATGAAATGCTCAGAAAAACACCCTATTTTAATTTTTATATAGAAATCTAGTGTGAGGTGGATTCCAAATTTAAAGGGTTAAATGATGTGTTTTCACTGAGTGGTTGGACACAGCTGAAGGTGAGCTCAGTGCCAGCACTTAAAGCAGTAGTTTTAAAGCAGTTGCTTCAATGCTTTCTTTTTCCTGTTGGACTATGATCCTGGTCTAGAAGTAATGGTTATTACAAAACCACAGTCATGTTGCGGCCCTGAATGCGTATGTACATTGCTACACAGTACTCTTCCCTGTTCCTCTGATAATGTCCCCTGCCCACTGATAATGTCCCTCCTCCGGCCCAGCAAAGGTTCAGAGAACTGTTAGCACAGGCAGTGACGAAGGGCTGGGGGGCAGCAGAGAAGCAGGTGAGAGATTCTGTGATTTTGTGGAGGAATTGTGTGGGAAAAGTAGATGCTGCCGAGTACCAAAATTCAGCACCAGATCTTATGGAAGGGTTTATTTACACAGCCCCTTAAGTTGCTTTTCACTCACACACGTCCTCTCACAGATTTCCGTTATGTACTCTCAGGCCTGTGTTCCCGCGTTGTCTGCCCAGGGCCACATGTGTGTAATGCAGAGGATGAGGGATGCTGGCAGTCAAACATGTCTCTGGTGACACTAGGTGACACTAGACATCTCTTCTCTCTCCCCTGGGAGTCAGCAGTTGTTTGAGGTTTTCCTTGGCTGTGCTCACCTTCCTGGTGGGCTGGTGGGAGGAGCCATGCTGTCTGTGGTGCATCCTCCTCTTGTCGGGCGCAGTGTCTTCTGCTGCTGGGCTGGTGCAGTGGCCTCACCAGAGCATGAGTCTCTGAAATGGTGGGAGCTGCACTGTCCTGAGCTTTACTGATGGGAGCCCTTCTGTTAATTGTCATTGTTTTCCCTGATGACCTCCCACATGCACATGTCTACTTCTGTTTCTTTCAGGCCAATATTTCTGTAACTGGTCTCTATGTTATAACCTCGCAACATAGAGGAAAAGTGAGTGGTCCCAGCCTCTCCTTACATCTCATTTATTGTGAGGGTGGTGAGAGCCTGGCCCAGGTTGCCCCCAGAAGCTGTGGCTGCCCCATCTCTGGAGGGGTCCAAGGTCAGGTTGGAGGGGGCTTGGAGCAACCTGGGCTGGTGGGAGGTGTCCCTGCCCAGGGCAGGGGGTGGCACTGGGTGGGCTTTAAGGTCCCTTCCAACCCAAATCATTCTAGGATTTTCCACCCAGGCTTGGAAAGTCCTCACTAGGCAGGGCCTGGCTCCGTGGTGAGAGCAGATAAAGTGAGGGCCAGCAAGGGGAAAGAGTGAAAGAAATTCAGCCCTGAACCACCCTCCTCCCCGAGTTGCCGGTGCAAGGATGGCTGGTGGCTTTGCTCGGACTTGGAACAGGCCCACGCCGAGGGCCGTGTCCTCCCGGGGCACCCTCGGCGGGTGGGCAACGCGGGGCCCCCGCGGCACCAGCGCTGCGTGAGGCGGTGGAGCCCGCGGCTGCTGCATCCCCGCCCGCGGTGCGGAGGACGAGCTCCAGCGCTCCCGCCGGACGCCGTCCCCCGCCGGGCCTGGCCACCCGTGGAGGGGCCGGTACGCCCTGAGGCCGCCGTTGCTAGGGGCGCGGCTCCGCTGTTGTTAGGGGCGCCATAGAATCCCGGAAGCGCTCTCGGGCTAGAGCGGCACCCGGAAGCGGCCGCTCCGTCCCGCTCCGTGCTGGCAGGCGCGGGATGATGGCGGCGGGCGCGCAGGGCGGCGGGCGGGTGGGCTGCGGCCCCTGAGGCGCCGCCATGTACTCGGCTGCTACCGCCGCCGCCTCGCCGCCGCGACGGGACTTCATCTCCGTTACCCTCAGCCCGGAGGAGGCGGTGGGGGCCGGCGGCTACAATAACAGCAAGGCCTGGAGGCGGCGCTCCTGCTGGCGGGTGAGGGCGGGCTGTGGGCCGTGAGAGCACTTGGTCGGCCGGGGGGGCTCCTGGCCGTGAGGGGAGGACGCGGCCTGGAGCCGGTGTGGAGCTGTGCGGGAGTGACGGGTACCCCCGGGCTAGGCGTGGGGCACCTGGCAGTGAGGGAGCCCCGTTGCGCCGGGAGGGCAGGGTTGTGGGCGATGGGGGGGGGCCCGAGGGGCAGCCGGGCTGTCCTGACCCGGGAGCCCGCGGTCTGAGGTGGGGAAGGGGCCGAAACTGTGGGCCCTTGCCGGTGGGGAAGGGTGGCCCCGGGCTGGGGGCTCTGCTCGCATCATCCTCCGGCAGCTCCCCCCGCTCCAAGAGCGGACTGTGGAGAGCACGCTGATGAGGGTGTTCCAGTGTCTTAATTTTGTGACAAAGCTGCGGCGGGGGGATGCGGTGTCTGAGGGGAATCCCGGCATCTGCTAGTGGCCGTTTGGAGGGCAACACTGTGCTCTCTGGGCAGGAGGGGAAGATTTGGTCGTGGTCCCTTTGCTTTTTTTAGGGCTTGAAGGAGGAGCCCTGTCGTCTGCCGTGGAAAAGTAAAGGAAAGTTTTCTGCTTTCTCTGGGAAGGCCGAGTGTGAGAAGAGGGGTCTCCGGCAGAGCTGTGTGGGAGTGCCCTGCACATCTGCTTGGGGACAGGGAGCGGGCAGGCAGCTTTACTCGGGGTGGGAGCCTTGGGCTGGAGAGGCAGGGTGGGAAAGTGTGGGTCAAAGATAACCATTGTTGCACATAGAAGGTGAGGTGTAGCCCCCTATAGAGGCTTTACACGTGGTCAGATGAAGCATATGAAGAACCTAAACCTGTGATTTTGGTCCATATGCTTCAGTTTTAAAAACACATTTTTTTTCCCAGGACTAAACTGGAAAACACTGTGGTTTTGTCTTGTTCGTTGTTCTGTTGGTTTACTTCATTTTGATGTTGCTGTGGGTTGGTGACTATTTGTGGTGGCAGGACCTAGTCTGTGTGACAGTTCCACAACTGTTTGTCAGAGGCAGAATGCCTGACTTTTCTTGTCCAGTGACTGATGCTTAGCTTATTTTGAGTGTTTTTTCTTTGCTGCAGTAATGTTTTTAGTTTTCCTTCCACTTTCTTCTGTTTCTTATTCTGCATGTGTGTTCTGTGGTACCTTCCCAGCCAGAAGGGAGGAAGGAGGCTCTTGGCTATTTCCCAGTTGACATCTGGGCAGATGCACAGGTTAGCCAGTGGAGGTTGTGATGAAAGTCAGAGCACTGTAGCGTTCTCTGGGAATCTTGGCAGTCTTTGAGGTTCTTGCAGCAAGTGGCTCTGATGTTTCTCTGAGCCTGCTGTGCCATATGCCAGCATGTTATGTTTCTATTTTCTCTATCATCAAAGAAAATAATCAATGGATATCAGCAGTTGGAAACAGAGTGTAAAATTAAACTTACTCAATTCTGTGTTTCTTGCTCTAAATGAACTGGTAAGAGTTTATTTTTGACTGAGCAGGCTCTTAATGTCACACTAAATATTCTTCCTCTTCCTTATTTTGTCTCCTAAAGAAATGGAAGCAGCTGTCTCGACTACAGCGGAGCATAATTCTCTTCCTGTTTGCCTTCTTGGCAGTCTGTGGAGTCATTTCATACACGAGCATGGGAGAACCGTGGAAGAGTAGGTGTTCTGTATAGCTGAGAATTACTGGAATGTGGTGTTATATTTAAGAGATTGTTCTAATTCCTCTAACTAGTTTTAATTTTTATTGACAATGACTGGGTGTGTCTATTAAAGTGCAGTTGTGAGGTGATTTTATGTGATATGTTTAAATGACTTTTTTCTGCTTACTGACAAATATTTTTCATATGTATTTTCATTATTTATCTTGACTAGAGCAACATTTTGTGTTAGTTGATTAAGACTTGGAGGCTGTGGGTTTTTTATTGTGTTTGTCTGTAGATACTGGTAACCCAAACCTAAACAGTAGAATAAGATAATCCTCTCTTGGTTTCAATTGTACATCAGATTAGAAATTCCAAGCTTTTCTACAATATGAAGGCACATTTATCTTATTGCCTGTATTGAGAAGCTGAAATAATAGCAATTTTTAAATTGCCTCTTAGCAGCCACCTTGTATATTAGGGAGGGTGTAAATACCAAAAGACATTTCCTGCCTAATAATTAGTGTGTATCAGTGTTTTGTGAATGGAAACAATTTTTGGAGGTGCATTTAGTATATGAATGCAGCAAACCATTATAAATTTCTAGCTGTTGATTCCTTGTGCTGAGAAGTTTT